GAATGGGTGATGTGTTTGATTGGCAGGTGTCGATCAAGAGCTGGCAAGCAGGAGCTCGGCAGCCAGCAGTTTGGCTGTGCCGAAAGCCCTCAGCCAGCTCACTGAGAGAAGATGCTCGGCAGGGAAGGGTGATGCTCCCCCAAACCAAGCCTTTCACCAGCTTCTGCATCCCCTGCAATGTGGTTTGGGGAGAAAAACCCGATTTTGCTGCTCGTGGAGGACAAACCTGGCCAGACAGGCTGGAAGAACAGGAAATGCATGGCGATTCCCCCCTTCCCAACCAATTATAAACCCATTTTTTTTTGCCAGCCCAAAAAGGGTTTGATCACTGGGCTGGCATGGTGACAGTTTACACCCCAGCGCTGTGACAATTTACACTAGGTGCCGATCTGCTTCTGGTTTTAAATGGCAGCAATTACATAAATTAAGGCTGTTTAAGCAATGATATAGCCAGCCTGTTGATTTTTTTTTTTCCCCTGCCTGGAAAAAAACAGCACTAGCTTTTCCCTTTTTTTCAGGGAGGCCGTCCCCACGTGCCGGCGTGTCCCCAGCCCCCTTCTCGGGTGACATGACCAAGGGTGCTCAACAAAGCGGGTGGCAGAGGCTTGAGGTGACCCCGAAGGTCCCAAGCGCCGAGTTAATGCACTGAGCAAGGTGGGGTCGTGCCAAAACAAAGCACAAAACAGGGCTGGCTAATAAACAGGGGCGATGAACAAATCCCTTAGGAATAAAGATGCCTCCGGTGTGTATTTTCCAGCCCTCACATGGGGCTCAGCATCCCCTGGGCACATCGAGGACCGCATCCTGCTGACCCTGCGCATGGATTTGCCACTGGCTGCTGCATTGTCAAACTCCTCTTTCCTGGGAAAGACACCAAATTTGGGGTGGAAAATGAGGAACGAAGGGAAAACAGGAGCCCTGCCTTGAGCCCCAAGCCCCCGCGGAGACGGATGAAGTCGGCCACAGGTTTTCCCCCTGCAACAATTTTTCAGCGACAGACGTTAATTTGCTAAAACGTCAGCGTTTTGCTGAAGTCTTTGATTTCTTTGTCTCCCTGAGACGATCAAAGTCTTTTGTTCTCCTTTGGGCTCCAAAGACAGAGCGCAGGGGGATGAAGGCAGGCGGGAAAACGGGCTGGGTGGGGGCAAACCCCGGGGTCTCGGTGCCTTTACTGGCAGCGGGGGGGCTGCAAGGCAGCGCTGAATTTCCCTGGCATATCACAACTCCTGTTTGCTCATCCCTGGTGTCAGGGCTCTTGGCTTTTAATAAAGCAGCTGCTCCAAACCCTTTCCCCGTGGCTATTACAAATGTAGCAGGGTTTTGAGACCCTGAAGAAATACTGGGAGGTGAGCCCTGTTATTCAGGACTCCCTTATCCCTGGAAAACTCTGGACTAAGGACATTTTCCCAACATGAAGGGTTGATGTGAGCATCCAAAGCCAAGCTCGGGAGCATCCAGACCCCTGGTAGGAGTCAGTGAAATCCCTGCAGAGGCCACGGAGCAGTCGGGATTTACGCCCGGCACCAAGTGCGCCGGGGAGTACAGATGGCCCAGGGTTTATTTAGCTACTGTTTGTTATAAAAAGCCCAGCCAATCTAGGTTATGCATTTTCAGCTCTCTACATTCAAATAAAATAAAAAAAGAAAAGAAATGAGACAAGCTCGGTGAGTCTGTTCTCCTTTGCCATCTGGCTGGGGAGAGCTGTGGGGCAAGGGAGCATGGGGCAGGACAGGCAGGGGTGCTGGGGCTCCTCACACCCCATGGATGGGCAGGGATGCTGGGGCTCCTCACATGGCAGGGATGCTGGGGTTCCTCACACCTCAGAGATGGGCAGGGATGCTGGGGCTCCTCACAGCCTGGGGACGGGCAGGGGTGCTGGGGCTCCTCATACCCCACAGATGGGCAGGGATGCTGGGGCTCCTTGCACCCCAGTGATGGGCAGGGATGCTGGGGTTCCTCACACCCCAAGGCAGGGATTGATGGGGTTCCTCACACGCCAGGGATGGGCAGGGATTCTGGGGCTACTTGCACCCCAGGGATGGGCACGGGTGCTGGGGCTCCTTGCACTCCAGCGATGGGCAGGGATGGTGGGGTTCCTCACACCCCAAGGATGGGCAGGGATGCTGGGGCTCCTCACACCCCAAGGATGGGCAGGGATGCTGGGGCTCCTCACACCCCAAGAACAACCCTGGTACAGAGGTTGCCCCGATGCCTCGCTGGGTCTGTTCAGGTCCTGTATGGACTCTCTTTGCCTCTTGGCCCTGCTTGGCCATTACTTGCTGTCCGAAAGCCAAGCTCAGGACTAATCCATGAGCTGAGGACTTGGAAATCCAGCCTTCAAGCATCTCTTGAAGCCTGGAGCTGCCTGAAGGTGGAGAGGAGAGGTTCTGTCCCTGCAATCTCGGCAGCATCTCCCCTGCCTGCCGGGCTGTGGTTTTGGGGTGCTGGGATCACCGCCAGCCGGCTGGGGCAACTTCCTTGGAAAATCCTGACCTCCAGGCAAGGAACAAGGGCCTCAGCAAAGTCAGGGGGAGCCGAACCTGCCCTCACCCTGCTCGGTAGCAGCTCACGCATTGATTTGCATCGCTCTGGGTCCGTCTGCCACCGGATGAATTAACCAGAGGCAGAGCTCAGGCCAGCTCCAGCTCTCCTGTTTTTTGTTTCCACTCCCAGCTCTTACATATATTAAGGAAGGCAGGGCTGGAGGGGGGGAAAGGGAGAGGTTGGGGAAGATGAGAAAAAAAAAAATTACAGCTCCCAGATCAAAACAATAATCAGCTAAATGAATTCCGCAGCATTTTCCCGCATGACTGCGAATGATAATTTAGTGCAGCAGCCAGCTGGAAGCAAAAGGATTAATTCTGCACTTAGTGACACCCATGTGAATAATTCATCACACGCAGACCCCTTTTCGTTGACCCCCCTGGGCAATCACTCCTAAGACCCCCACCAGCCGGCCCCAGCCCGCCGCGGCGCCCCAGGGACTGGGGGGGTTCAGTCGCCAGTTCAGCATCCAGCCCTGTCCCAAATTCACTTTATGGATAGGGTTTTTTTTCGCAGATGGGAGCAGAGGCTGGTGGATGCAGTAATTAGATCGATCAGGCTTGTGGTCATATCCTGACCTGCCCAAGGTCTGGTCCTGGAGCCAAGGACAAGCGGGGTTTCCCCCTCCCCGGGATGAAAAGCAGCCAAATTCCCGCCCTGCTGTGACATCCCTGGGGACAACAAATGCTGAAGGATGGAGACAGCTGGACATTTGTCACCACGGTTAACCAGCCTGGCCCTTCTCTGCACGGAGACAGTGAACGGCCTCTCCCGAGTACCCTGCCTGTGCCCTGCCTGCCCCCCGGCCTCCAGCCGTGGTTTCCCAGGAATACAAGCATGTGCCAAAAGCCCTGGGAAAGCGACAGATATGTGAGGGCAAGGATGATGCTGCTTCTTCCAGCTGCCCAGTGGCACGATCCAGAGCCCCGACACAACAGGCACAAGGGATAAAACCCGGATTCAGTCCTGCCTGAGAGGTTTGGAGAGAGGGTAGCAGCTCTAAAGAGCCATCTCCTGCCCTGTCTCTGTCCCCATCCCTCCCTGCCTTGGGGTTCGCCGTCCCCAGCATCTCACCTCCGATCGCAGGACCTGCAGGCAGAGCCCCACAGTTGGGATGGTCCCAGATGTGGTTCTGAGGTCTGTGCCCTGTGGAGGCAGAGGAAGGCTCACAGCCCGCGCTGGCCTCTGGGTTTCTGCCGGGGCTCTGGTGGCTTTGGCATCACCCGGGTGCCACCCTGGGGCCCGGCGCTGCAGTTTGGAGCAAGGGGTCCTGCCTTCCTGCGGGATGCTCGGGAGCTCTGCACCAGGCTGCCCACCCAGACACGGAGGTGGGATCTCCATCCCACCATCCCAGCAGCTATAGGTACCATCC